TCAGGTGAAGTCCCTGATGAGACCCGCAAGGTGCAGAGAATAAACGTATTGGCCTGTTGAAGACAGCGTCCCTTCTGCTGGGCAGCTTCAGTGCAGGACACCATCCAACTCTCGACCCATGCAGCGTTGCTTTATCCTTTAGGGAGGTTTATAAAATCTAAAATCTGGGTCTTCTTCCTCCTCCTCCCCTTGGCTCCCAGGGAGCTCAGAATCCTGAGACTGGCCGGTCAGCTGCCTTTTTCTGCATCTGCAGTTGCCCTCCTGGGTGGGGGGTGTCTGCTTTTTAGGGGCGGTTGTGGGCGTGTTCTCTGTGGTCCTGCCCCGTAACCCACGTGCTCCTGCCCCCACCAGCTACACGTTCCAGCAGGTCCAGGAGCACACGGACCAGATCTGGAAGTTCCAACGCCACGACCTGATAGAGGAGTACCAGGGCCGGCCCCCCGCGCCGCCCCCATTCATCCTCCTCAGCCACCTGCACCTCTTCGTCAGGAGGGTCGTCCTGAAGATCCCCTCCAGGCGGCACAGGCAGCTCAGTGCGCTGTCCCCTCCCTTGTCCCCAGAGCGGCTCCCGGGTCCTGGGGTGGGACGGGGCGGGAGGGGGTGCAGCTCCTAGACTCCTGGGAGCCAGCAGATGTGCAGGCCCCCAGGCCACTGACCTCCTGCTGGGCCACTTGGGGCGGGCTCCTCCGGCCCCCCAGGGTCTCGGCCCTCCCGGCGGGGCCCGCAGTGGGGGCAATGGGTCAGAGCCCCACGTCCTCTGTCCACTTGCCCTCCCCCGGCAGAGGACAAGCTGGAGAAGAACGAGGAGGCGGCCCTCCTGTCCTGGGAGATGTACCTGAAGGAAAGCTACCTGCAGAGCCAGCAGCTCCAGAAGCAGCAGCTCCCGGAGCAGAAGGTCCAGGACATCAGTGAGAAGTACGTGGCGCCGGCCCCTCAGGCCGGACGCCGCAGCCCCTGCGGGTCCAGGACACAACAAGGACGCGCTCCCGGGGGAGGCCCCGCAACTGCCACCTGGGCAGAAAGCCCCGTACCGCGGCCCCTGCCCTGGGCCTGTGTCCACGGCCCTCCCTCTGGGTCCCGCAGGCGGCTGGGCTGACCCTGGCTCCTCCGTGGTAGGAGGTGGGGTCGGGGAGGCCCACCCCCGGCCTGGGAGGACCCGCAGTGAGCTCGTTGGCACTCGGCTTGGCTGCAGCTCCTTGGGGGCCTCGGCAGCCGGCCTGGAGCCCAGGCACACTCCGCACCTTCTCTGCTCTCAGCTTCCTTCCAGGGTGTGAGGTCGGAGTTGGGTCCCTTCCCTCCACCCTCCCCAAGCCCTGGCAGGTGCCGCAGGGCCAGACTGCCTCAGGGCACAGGTGGGGGGAGCGCTGGTCCTGAGGAGGGACGGTGCCATGTCCAGGCCCCCAGGCTGGCCTGCTGGGCTCAGCCATGTGCTCTGTTAGGGTGGACACCATGGTGGACCTGCTGGAAATGGCACGTCTGAAGCGGTTGGGCTCCATGGAGCAGAGGCTGGTCTCCCTGGAGGAGCAGGTGGGTTCTGGGCTGGGGCCTCTGTTTCTGGGCCTGGATCCGATGGCCCTGGTCGGTCATTCAGCAGTGTGGTGGCTTCGAGAAGGAGCATGCTGGGAAACTGACCAGGAGAAGGAGGTGGGGACATCAGCACAGTTGTTCCCAACCAGCAGGGGGCCTTCCAGTCCTCTAGAAGATTCTGCCAAACACTCCGCTGCCTGAGCTCCACCACGCCACCCTGTGAGGTGGCCACGCCATGGGCCAGTCTGAGGGAACAAACTTGTCCCCTCCTCTGGCCTCCTTGGAGCTGTCCTCTGAGATGGCCGCTGTCTCCAGACTCCTCCCCCAGAACCTGAGAGGGGGCTGTGGAAATTACCAGTGGCCCTCAGCTGCTTTCTCAGGCTGTGCTAGGATGGAGGGAGGCCGCGGGGGCCAGCAAGGGTGTGTGTGAATGTCCGTGCGGACAGCTGGACTGAGGGGCAACATCAGAGAGCAGTGTGTGGACATCTTGGACCAGCCCCAGACGAGAGGGAGGTGACCCATAGGCAATAGACAAGCAGCCTCCACCCACCCCTCCCACCTCAGTGTCCACTGATGCTCCCCCTACCAGCAGGGCAGCCCCGAGCGGCCTCACGTCCAAGAGTCATCACCCTGCAGGCCAGCTGGGCTCGGCGCCTGAGCAATGCAGAGGGACAGTATGCATGTTAGTCCACCCAGCCTCCCAAACCACCCAGTCGTCCACCTGCCCATCCCTCCTCTGTCCATCTATCCACCCACCCACCCCGTGTTTCCTGCAGACCTCCACCATGCCCACTCAGGGCTGGCCTGAGAATGTCGGGGTAACAGGCATTGCCTCACACTTGGAGCATCCAGCTAGGGAGGAGGCACAGACGCAAAGGTCCATTGTCACAGTGCAGTTCAGTGCGCACAGTGAGCAAGGTGGACGCAGAGGCTGGTGGTCAGGGAGGCCTCAGGACTCCAGGGCCGAGACGGTGGACCAGGCAGAAGTCAGGCACCCGCCCCTCCTTGGCCCTCCTGCTGAGCTCCAACCCTGTCCCCTCCGCGCTGCGGGCCTGCCCTGGGTCCCGCCCTGCATGCTTCTCATCACCCCGACTGCCCCATCCCCAGAACCTATGCTCTCCAACGAGAGCCCTTGCTGCCCCGAGCAGCCCCTGAGCCCCCACGCTGTCGCCGAGTGCTGCCCAAGCAGGCTTGCTGTGCTGGGCGGGGAGCAGGCCGCTCGGCCCTGCCCTGGGGACCGCTGCACGGGGGCTCTGCCCCGGCACCTTCCCCCCCGACACCCCTGAAATGGGTGTGGCGCCACGGAGCTGCGTTCTCCTGGCCCCTGTTAGTCACAGGTGGGTCCCACGGTCGCCTGTAATTGAGCACGTTTGGCCTCTGGACGTTCCTTTCCTCAGTTGTGCGCTGCCCTCTTCCTGGGGCTCAGATCTCTCACCGGGGCTTCACGTTGGTCCGAAGGCCCCCCGGTGTCCAGTCCCAGGGTCACTGTGTCTCATCGGCAGGTGCTGCCAGCGGTCAGCGCGCGTGACTCCGGCAGAGCCCTGGCGGCGCTGGCGGCTGCCTGGGCAGCAGGGAGCCGGGAGGGGCCGGGTGTTCTGTGTGGACTTCCTGTTGGGGATGTGCCTTTCAGGTGGCCCGGACGACCAGAGCGCTGCACTGGGTTGTGAAGAGCCTGCGGGCCAGTGGCTTCGGCTCGGAGGAGGGCGTCCCCACCCTGGGTGAGTGGGTGTCGTCCAGCAGCTGGTCTCACCACCTGTGTTCTTTTGAGCCTTGGGGTCTGTGGGGAGCAGAGGCAGCAGGCCCGGTGCCTCGGGGGGTGGGGCCCGCCCCACGGATACAGGTGCCGAATGCAGCCAAGCCCCCAGTTTGACCAGGCTGGGGGACTCTAGAGGTGGCCTGGCCACAGCCCCCATCCTCCTCCTGGGCGTCATGCTACAAAGTAGGGGCGGCTCCAGGAGACGCCTGAGGCCCAGTCCCATCGACCGGATGACAGAACACAGAGCCGTTGTTCCAAATTGGCAGCCATCCGAGAAATCGGCATGAGTAACCGTCCTGGGGTGTTGCTGGCCCGGGAGGAGCAGGCACGCTCTCCTTAGCGGGGCGGGCGTCTGTGAGGCCTGCGAGCCCCTTTGGCTGCCGGGGGCTCTACATGCAGAAGCAGGTGCCTGACCCCCAGCCTCTGTCCTCCGAGGGCTGCAGTGCGAAGGACCTCGGGGAGGACGTCCCATTTGGGGCTAGTGTTCGACCTAGTCTCAGAGAGGTGGAGGCAGCCCGGAAGTTTAGGAGAGAAGACCACAGAGGATGGCCCTGTCCCGCGGGCCAGACACCTGGGCTCAGGCCCAGCTTTGCCCATGGCTCCGCGCGGCTGTTCCCCTTCCCAGTACCCCAGAAGGTCTCGGAGGGGCAGGACCCTGATCTGGACAGAGGGCAGAAGGCGGAGGACCCTGGTGACGCCTACCACGTGAACGCCCGGCACCTCTTCTACCCCGGCTCCTCGGTCCTGCGTTTCCCGGTGCCCAACGAGAAGGTGCCCTGGGAGGTGAGTGCCTGTCCTGGCTGCAGGTGCCTGGAGTTCTTGAGGGGAGCGGTCCCACCCCAAACCCCTGGGTGGGTGGGCCCACTGCAGCCTCACGGGGACACAATGGACAGACGAGGAAGCAGAGCACACAGATCCACGCAGCCGGAGGGGGTGGGGCTGGGGGTTGAGTGCAGGATGCCGGTGGGCCTCTGCCCTGCCTGTCCTACACCCCTGTCCCGAGCAGATGGTCACTGCCCCCTTTCTGAGCGCCAGGTGAGTGCAAGCACCAGAGACGGGGAGAAAGGGAGCGAGATGGACAAGGCATCATGCCCACCCCGGACTCTCTGGCTTTCCTGGAACATTCCGGGCTGTTGCTTCCTCCGCCTTCTCCCC